GTTCAAGTTCAAATTCAGTTCAAGTTCAGTAAACTTTGTCATGACATGTGCCAGGCTGCAACCACACATCACTTGTTACTCCCAATCTTAACTTTTTTTAGATTAAATTTAAATACTGTAACATTTTAAATAAACAATCCATGCAGCATATATTGTTTATGTAAAATATTACAGTATTTAAATTTAAATAGTAGAGAAGAGAAGTGCAGCAGAACATCAAGTGATGTCACACAGCTTCAGCTCTGCAGCACGGAGAAGAAATGTACTTCTTGATCAATTACACTGAAACAACTGAACATAGCAGTTCTAAAATAATGAAAAATAACTTTTAACATTTTTATATTTTGTGGTTAAAATGACGGGCAGCACGGTGGCGCGACTGGTAGAGCTGCTGCCTCTCAGCAAGCAGGTCCCAGGTTCAAACCCCGGTCCAGGGGCCTTTCTGGGTGGAGTTTGCATGTTCTCTCCGTGCATGCGTGGGTTTTCTCCGGGTACTCCGGTTTCCTCCCACAGACCAAAAACATGCATGTTAGGCTGATTGGTAACTCTAAATTGTCCCTAGGTGTGAGTGAGAGAGTGAATGGTTGTTCGTCTCGTTTGTCTCTATGTGTCCCTGTGATGGACTTGCGACCCGTCCAGGGTGTACCCCGCCCCTCGCACAGTGATTGCTGGACATGGGCACCAGCGACCCCCGTGACCCAAAATGGAATAAGCGGGTAAAGAAAATGGATGGATGGATGGTTAAAATGACTTTTAAAATGTGACGTTCTTTGATTTTTATGTTGAAAGACAAAAGTTGATTGGTGCATCTGGACAGCAAAGGGTTAACCTTCACAAAGCTGCTGCAGCAGGAGAAATGTGTGCTGGCAGAGAAGGAAATCAGCTGATCGGCTGCAGGAGGGAGCTTTCTCTTGCACTTTTGGGCTTCACACATCCATCCATCCATCCATCCATTCATTATCTTTACCCGCTTCTTCCATTTTGGGTCACGGGGGTCACTGGTGTCCATGTCCGTCAATCACTGTGCGAGGGGCGGGGTACACCCGGGACAGGTCACAAGTCCATCACAGGTGGTGCAAAATCCTTTAAAATAATTTATTTTAAATAAACAACCCACGGCTCATCCATCAGCCATTTGTGTCACGTCCAATCTTATTTTGAAAATCTGCGATATAGCGAACGAACCGCAAAGTAGCGAGGGACTACTGTACTACTATTCCTACTTCACGGTTTTTCACTTATCATGGGGCTTCAGGGTACGGATCCCCGGCGATAAACAAGGGACTACTGTATTTACTTTGTTGTACCATTTGCTCTCATGCACCTCAACTTGTACTGCTGCTCACCTACAGGGGGCGCTCAGCTCATTTGAGCTTCAACTTCTGTGTTACGTCCCTGAGTCTAGTTAACACCAGACATCACACAGGATGACCACCTTGCTACAATTAAAGAATTAAGGCATGCATTCAGAAGACAGCTGGCTCCTGATTATGTCTCATAAAGAGCGATTGGTCACATTTTGAGTGTGTGAACCTTCACAGCAAAGTATCTGTGGTGTATCATTGTAGCAGCTCATGAACCAACAACTCATGAACTGAACTTGGCAAACGGACCTTCTCCTACTCCGCTCCTGTTTCCTGGAATATCTTGCAAAAAGATCTGAAGCTCTCGACCTGGACCTCTCCAAGTGGCTTTAAACATCTGTTAAGTTCATGGTAAAAACCAATGCACACATGTTCCTGTTTTTAATATTTTACATTGCTTTATAATGCAACTGTTTTCGTTTCGTTTTTTAATATAATTTTCTTTCATCTATTTTTCAATTTATATGCTTTCTTTTATGATTGTCTACTGTGGTCTGCATTCTTTGTTTAAATCAGACCGACCTGTATAAATAAAGGTTGAACGAATGAAGTAAAGACAACCGGGACTCGTCGTCCACCGTGCACATCGTTACGGTTCCTCTCTGACATTTTAATTCTGACTTTTGTGCAGAATTGTTCAGAAAACAGCATCTTTTGCTCATATTCATTGTTCATTCCTTTTCGCTCATCACATCTCTACTAACCAGTTTGTGTCGCTAAATTGATTTTTTTTCTGTTTATTATACACTAATTTTAAACCTTTACAGCCAACCATTGTCTTCTTTCCTCCAACAGTAAAGGTGTCCAAGTGAACAAATCATTCAACACTTCCAGGGTTTTTGTAAACAACTTACTGAAGTTACTCAACTGCTTCACCATCACTTCATTCTATTCACTGTGGCAGCAGAGTTAAATATTTTCACTTGACTGACAGATTGAAAGGTTTTGCCACAGCCCAGCAGCGTGATCCGATTCACTAAAGACACTTTGTATTACAAAGCTTTGCTTTTTGTGTGTGTTATAGCATCCTTTTGCTACCTTTAGCTAAAAGTTTGCTAATTGTAGCAAAGGAGCGAACTGCAAAGAAGAAGCGAAAAGAAACAAGACACAGTGTTTCCTTTAGCTCCGCCTCTTTCTGTCCTCTCCATCCATCCAGACCTCTAATAGCAGGGTAGGATAACTGAGTAAGAAACAGGCCAGGGTTACCCCGGTGACCCAAACACAGCAAGAGAGGGGCTGGAGAGGGGTGGGATGAAGAAAAGAAAAGACAGGAGACTAAAAAGAACCGCTTGTTTTGAGTGCCAAGCATTCGTTTATCTGGGTCTTTCAGCGTCGCTCGAGCCCCGACGAGGCAGAGAAACACTCGGTCCCATAAAAAACACAAAACCCAGGGTTTCCTCTAACACTTGCTCCTGTCGATGAAATTCAATGAAACAAAAGTGATTTAATAAAAAGTGAAGTCATGTTGTTACTTGCTGCCTGTCGAACGCCCGCCACCCCCCTTCAATGTGCTTATGAGCGCCATCTTAAGGTAAGAAAAGCACCTGCACAATTCACCTTCCTAATAAAGAGTTACACTTGTATTCATATTCAACAGCATAGAGAACATTTACAGTTTGTGTCTGTGACATTTTGAACTAAAAAGATGAAGGAAAAAAGAAACTGTGTCACATCTGTCAAAGCTCAAAGGCATTAGAGGTAGTAAAATAACAGACGAAATATAAAATAAATCAATCTTTGAGCATATAATAAAAACTGAAGGATTGTTTAGCCTGAAAAGTTTCCATGGTGACATGATCCTTCTGTGTGCAACCAGGCCGTCTCCATCAGGGCCCCGAGGCTTCGGAGAGACCTGCCAACTCATTGTCCTCATTTAAATCGACGCTTTGAAGGGTTTTAAACGTTTCAAGGCTGCAAAATCAATCCTCGTTTTTTAACACAGGTGAAACTGGTTTATGAAGCATTGCAGCTTCTTGCTGAAGCTCAGGGGACGTGATCAATTTTGATATCAAACTGGTCGTGATGCTCCTTCAAAATGTCACGAAGGCAATTCAGACTGGACATTGATGCAATGCGAGAAAAGAAGGAAAGTTGTGCTGGATAAAAGCAAAATAAGTCTAATAAATCAGTGGAGGAAGAAAAGTCAGGATAAATGGCAAGCCGAACTTGTCCAAAGGGTCTGTTGTTGCTATGGAGACGGATGCAGGTGCTTTTAGCTTCTGAGGGATGTTGTCACAAATCAAGGCCCTATGGGGGAAACGTAGGTTTAATCGTATGTTAATTAGAAGAAAAGATCCGCGTTGACACGGTCGGATTTTGTGTTTACATGCATCCGAAGGGATCCCCCCCACCCCCGCCCTCCTGAATCCACTGTAGTTACCATGCCGGGTCATTAGATGGCGCTGTGAATTTTGTACCTTCATTCGCACGTGCCTTTCCTGTGAGCTAAAAAGCTCAGCTAACAACAATTTAACAACAAGTTAAAGCTGGATTGTGGATAAGAGTCGACAGATTTGACGCCAAGTGGAACCGCTTCATCTAACAGCTCCACACCGGTCGCTGAGTGGACCAGAACCGAGTCAGTCGACGATGTCGGACTTTACTCCATGATAATCAGTAGCTGATTTACAGCAGGTAAATCAGCGTTCTTAATAATGTTAGTTTGTGTTTACTTTGGTTACAAAACTACCAACTGAGTTTTTATTTTTTATTTTTCCTGAAAGAAGAAGGAGCTGTCCTCCCACCAGGCGGACCGGTTCTGAACGAGGCTCGGCCCAGGTGCACTGCAGGAGGACGTCGAAGAGAGAGATGTTGGATGAACTATTTATTCAAAATTCCCCTCATTTCTTTTATTCAATCCATTCAAAGTTTTAAGCTGCATTAATCAAAGGAGTGACAGCCTGAACGAGCCAGATGAACAACGTGGGACATCCAGGATGAAAACAAGAGTCCAGTTCATTAACGTAGTTTACAGTTAACTTGTTTTAATAGTGTGTTCAGTTTAATTATCAGTGACATACAGTTTGTGGTGTTAAATAAATAAATAAAAATTAAACCTGATGTCTTCATTTTCAACTTTAGTGTTCACGCTATATGTTTAGCATCATTTTAAATTTGAATTACATAATGTCCAGATATCTTCATTATATCTCGCACTAACATAAATACTGTTTATTATTATTAAACTGTTATTATTTAGCACATTTAGTATGTTATAGTGCAGCACGACGTGTGTGCATGCCACGTTCTATAAACAGCGACATTAGAACTGGGTCAGACTGTGTCTCTTCCAACACAGACGTCGGTCACAGCACCTGGAATCTGACGTAGATTAACTACGTGTGAATGTGTATGTGGTGTCGTGTAAATGATCAGCAGAACTGCAGAGAGAAAACTGTGGATTCACTCAAAATACACGCCGTGTAAACGGCCCCTAAAATGAAGCCATCACGGAGCTGTCAGGAATACAGACGGCTATGATCTGCCTCTGTGACAATACATCTCTAATACTGTCAGTAAAACTTTATCAGCAAAAATACATTTTTCTTTCCATCACTTGAGACAGAAAAACAAATACCAAAGAAAAAGAGAAAGAAAAAAACCCATTATGTTTGTAGTGGTGTGTATATATTTTACCTGCTTTCTGACTCGACACATCTCCTTTTGATTCTTTAGGCAGAGGTCCATCTGAAAGCACACAGAGGAGAACAAAAACATGACTTAGTGAGTTTGGAGAACTGCTTTTCCTTGATTGGCTGAGTTGACTTAAATAAAAACTGTACAAAAAACTAAAAATTAAGCAATATGCTAATAAACATATGATGTGGTAGCAGATGAGAGTCATCCCCAACACATACTTTGAGTGCTACCAAATCATTTGTCAAGGTTCTTTATTGTCATTTGCATCAAATGTGGTACATAAGGTGGAACGAAACTGTGTACACAGGGTCCCAGTTACATCCAACAAAAGCGTTTGGGGTTTTTGATTTTAACCAGCGTTCTAGGCAATAGGAAACATGCATTTATTTAAGAATTGCTACTTTCATTTAATACTGAGGCGGCTGTGGCTGAATGGTTAGAGCAGTCATCCTCCAATGCAAGAGTTGGGGGTTCGACTCCACCAGTAGTCACATGCCGAAGTGTCCCTGAGCAAGACACAGAACCCCTCATAGCCTCTGATGTGTGTCCCACCAGTGTATGAATGTGATAAAGCTCTGATTAGTCTGTGTATGTAGTAGAGTGCTGTATGAATGAGTAAATGACGCACAGATTATGTTGTAAAGAACTTTGAGTTTCTTGATTATATAGAAAGGTGATATATAAGTACAGTAATGTCCATTTACCATTTAATATTTAAATATAAATACATGAATTTCAGGATGGCCAAATTGTCACAACAAATAGCGTTAAAGTGTCTTGTAACTGGGGGTAAAATGCTACAGAAGGAGCAAATTTCACAGCAATTTGTCCCATAATTGCTCCAGCACTTAACTCCAAACGACAACAGATGCCTCTCAGTTCATGTCAGTGCAGCTAAAACTGACTGGAAAAACAAGCCGCACTGTTTAACCAGCAACTCTGGTCAGAAGGAGCCAAAGGTCTGCCTTCAGTCGCTGTTTTGTATTAGTTCGGCTGACAGAAACTCCTCCACGTTTACCTTGTTCAGTCAAGTTCAAAAACAAAGTAGTTAAGGGAAGCACAGTTTTGGTTTTCAGAAGGGGTGAACTGGAAGCTGCTGGTGCAAGAAAAATTCCTCAGCTCGTCTTGAGTCTGGACTAGAACACGCAGGACTCATCTGCTCGTCAGCCTATAACTCATGACTGAAGCTGACAACAACCGGCTCATTGATGAAGCCTATAGGCCGAGAGAGAAGCTGCTGCTGAGACCCACTCAGTATCATGTACACAGGCTGGACGTTTGACCCGCTGACTCAGTGACACATGCTCCCTCTGCTCTGACTCAGGATTCCTTCGTCCTGTTTATTCCTGCCGCTCAGAACTCGACTGAAGAGAAACTGACCCAAACGCAGAAAATCAAAGCTTGACGTTGACGTTTAAATGTGATACATGTTTTCAACAACTATCATTTTCCTGTTTATACTTCCTTCTGTTAACCATCTACTTACTAATAGTTTATGCTGTTCTAACTAGAGCCCGACTGATATATCAGTAGGGCCGATATTTTAGGTCGATATAGGTGTTTGGGGACATATCAGTATCGGTGATAATGGTCCCATTATGCGCCGTTATAAACACTTACAATTTTCACCCCTAAAATGCTGGAGCAGGTCATGTCCTTGCAAATGGGGTAATTGTACAATGTATCCAGCAGAGGGCGCATGAAGACTACTTTCAAGTCATGGACGTTCACTTAAGTTTCGCTTTCACTTTCAGCACAGACGAAGCAGGGAGCAATACTGTGTAGCATGTTTTGCTGAACAGTAAGTTTATTTTAAATGATCTGTAAAATAAATAATAAATTAAAAAAATCAACAATACTCCAGTTTCCTCCCACAAACCAAAAACATGCATGTTAGGCTGATTGGTGACTCTAAATTGTCCCTAGGTGTGAGTGAGAGAGTGAATGGTTGTTTGTCTCATTTGTCTCTATGTGTCCCTGACATTTGCAAAATTAGCTAAGCCATGTTTGAGGTAGCTAAAGTCCATTAGCTGTGGCTGCCATCTTGAACTGGATTGACTTAAAAGGAAACCAGTTGCAGATGCACATCCAATGATTATTTTAAGAGACTTTCATAAAATGTCTCTAGTGGGTTAGAAAAGTTTTGCTAACAGACAAAACCATCACCGTCAGATTTCAGCTTCATGGATAAACAAGTGAAAATAAATATTTCATACTTTCCATGATGTTATAATCAATGTGTCTAAATATTAGAGTTAGGATGATCAACTTAACCATTTTAATAAACACATCATGTGGAGGAGGGTCTCAGTCCATCACTAAAATCAGCTGCAGAGAAAATATCTCAAAATACAAGACTGATTTTGCACTTTATTCTTGTTCTATTTTGATATGACTGAGTAAAAGTCGTTTTATTTAAATAACTCAAAACATTGCAAAAAAAAAAAAACAAGCTGTAAAGAAGGCTAACTGCATACATTTTTGATAAAACTTTAATGTTTTTAATAAAACAAATGGTAGTTCTGCAAATTACCCTATTTTTCGGCCTATAAGTCGTAGTTTTTTTGGCATAATTTGTATGCCCTGCGACTTATACACCGAAGCAACATATTTATGGATTTTTCCCATATTTATAAACCAATTTTTGGCTGAGATAGTTTTCATTCATTCTGACATGGAAAATATTGAACACTACCATTTTCAGCCGCTAGATGGCACTCGAGTTGTATGGCATGCCATTGTGTCATGGAATAGGTAAAAGTGGCTATTAATGACACAATCAGCTTGCCATAGCCTGACACCTTCATCCAGCTCGCTTGGAGCAACCATCAAATCAGCTTCATTTCGCTGCACCGCCTCGGCGAAATGAAGCTGATTTGACCATTGAAGTGAATTTATTAAGTAAAAGTTCAACGGAGACACACCTTTACTATAAAGTCGAGCAAACAAATAATTGTTTTTAGGTGTTTATCTTGTTAAATTTAGAAGAAATGCACAGCGAGTCATCCCTCTGCGTGTTCCTACTTCCACGTATCAGCTTTTGAAATGCAGCTGATTTGACCATCAAAGTGCATTTATTAAGCAAAAGTTAGACTGAGACACACCTTTGCTACAATTTTGAGCAAACAAACAAATGTTTTAAATGTTAATTGTGTTAAATTAAAGTCCTCCCGTGCACGCTCCCGCAGCCGCCATTTGGAAGCCCATCAATTTTTGGCACATCACCGGCCCACATTTCTGGGTTGTCAGCGGTGACGTGTAATAGATGCGACTTATACGGTGAAGCGACGTATTTATGGATTTTTCCACTTTATTAGACATATTTGGACTGATGCAACTTATAGGGCGGTGCGACGTGTACGGCGGAAAATACAGTATCTGTTGTAATGCAGCAAGGATGACAAATGTTAACAGCACATATCCTTTGAGTTCAGTAAAATAATAACTAAAAAAAACAGTTTCTGTGAAACGTTTGGCCTAAAAATGACCAAAACTGTTCAGATGCTGTACTAAGTTGTTCATCTACAAAAAGAAAAGCCCAACTACCAACAAATGAATATGGTTGTTTTAACTTGATCTTATAAACGTGACACTGCAGTGTCACGAGGGTCTGAAAATTCTCTAGTTTTCAAAAAGACGACCTGTTTTCTTTTGTCGTTTTTTGCAAAAGAGTTTCTTAAAAATAAGGACAGATTTCTAAGCTGCACAGGTGTGTGTAGTTTGTAACAAAATGCAACTGAAACATCCAAATCTGGAGCTGTGGGAGGAAACACATCTAAAGCTGGAGTCCAACTGGACCAGAAGGATAATGTTCATGACAAACAATTTTGAAGACTCACATCAGGATATTACTACTTCTTATTTCAAGAAATATATGAGTTCATCATGAGCAAGTAATGCACCAAGAATGTGCCGTATTAAATCCTGGCTCTGTACGTTTATCAGCCTTAATAATTCAATGACATGTGAAGTGGTTCCCCTCTGACGGCTTAAGCAGGAAGGATTTAGCAACTTTTTGCTGGTGGCGGTTTCCATTAATAAACATCCAGCAGAGAAGCAAAAGAAAACAACTCCACAAGAGCAAACCTGCTGCAAACAGACATAAAGCTACAAATTCAGGGGAGCAGCGCTGAGTACTCAGAAAAACACAACGATCTCAGGCAGGTGTTCTCTAAATGTACCTGGGAAAACGTCACAGAGAATGAAAAGGATAAAGGAGAAAAGTGCCAAAAAAAGAGAAGGCCAAGAGAAAGACCAAACACTCTGCATACTCCTAATATTTGTGATGCCAAAGATGTTGAACTAGGCCTCTGTGTGCAACGATGCCAGGCTACATAAAGGTTGTCCACAATCTAAACAGTAACATTTCTTTTGCATGGCAAAGAGAAAAGCATAAAGAAGCACAGCTGAAACATCATAGCTGTTTGACTAAGGCTAAAACAGAGAAACTACACAATAAAAACACTGGTAAAGAAACAACTCAACAGTGGCACTGTCTTAGAGCTCAGCTCTGCCAAACACAGCTCATACTGTGTCCTGAAAATGTTCCTTTCTACAGACAGCCCACTTCTGGCCCGACGCACCGGTACTGTCTCGGGTCCTGCATTAACATGAGACCACCCTCTCTGTGGGCCCCTGCCTTCCACTTCCCGGTAGGCACACTCACCATTTGACTCACATGTAACTAGGAAAGACCCCCCTTTTATTTAGAAATACCAATTGTGTGGCTCATTGACTGAACTGAGGGGTGAGGCACGAAAACAATGAGCAATAACCTGCTGACTTGAAGTGACGATAGTAGCAGCAGAGAAGAAAAAACGAATGTCAAGAAAAACACATTCCAGACATTAATGTAGAAAAGAGTTAATTTTAGGGGTGTCCAATCCTGGTCCTCAAGAGTCATGACCCTTCATGTTTTAGATGTTTCTCTGCTCCATTACACCTGATCTGAATGGTCGAGCTGGATGCTGAGGTGGAGGTGAAGCTGAAGGACTACACACAACATGTGTGCTTTTGGCATGCTCAATTACCTGCACATAG